AAACTCCGCTATTGGCAGCCACCGCTGACACTGCCTGGTGGATCTCCATACATTGTAGGAAGGAGGAAGAGGGAGGACAAGGAGGGGGGGCGGTAATGCGTTTAAAAGGACACACCTTCCTTGTCATGTCAGCCATTAGCGGAGTTTTATAGCTGTCAAACTCACTCCTTCGATATGCCGGCCGAGGGTTTTTGAATGGTCCTTCATTATACACACTTGGAATTGTTTCTATGTTGAGATCTGGATCAGAGTTGTTGGTCTAGAACCTTACACGTGAGCGTACTATTTTTTAATTGTTCAATAAAATTACATGTATTGCTGACGGAGATTCTGTGTTGCTGTTCCTTTGTTTCTAGAATGGGGAAGAAAGGAGATTTAAGTGACTTTGAACATGGCATGGTTTTTGGTGCCAGAAGGGCTGGTCTGAGTATTTCCAAAACTGCTGATCTGCTGGGGTTTCCAATGTTGTCCTTGAATTTGATGTGTTGAAAGCAGACAAAATGGACAAGTGTAAGGAGGGACTTTGACAAGGACTAAATTGTAATGGCTAGATGACTGGGTCAGAGCGACTCCAAAACTGCAGCTTTTGTGGGATGTTCCCGGTCTGCAGTGGTCAGGACCGACCAAATGTGGGCTAAGGAAGGAGAACAGGCCAACTGGGGACAGGGTCATGAGTGTCCAAGACTCATTGATGGACATGGGGAGTGAAGGCTCATTGATGGAGGTGGAGGGGGGAAGGCTCATTGATGGAGGTGGAGAGCGAAAGCTTATTGATGGAGGTGGGGGGATCGAAGGCTCATTGATGGAGGTGGGGAGCGGAGGCTGGCCTGTGTAGTCTGATCCAATAGAAGAGCTACTGGAACTCAAAATGCTGAAAACATGAATGCTGGTATCGGAAAGGTGTCAGAACATGCAGAGCATTGCAGTTTGTTGTGTATGGGGCTATGTAGCTGCAGACCGGTCAGGGTGCCCATGCTTACCCGTGTCCATAGCCAAAAGTGCCTACAATGGGCACATGAGCATCAGAACTGGACCACGGAGCAATGGTAGAAGGTGGCCCGGTCTGAGGAATGATGTCTTCTTTTACATCATGTGGATGGCTGGGTTTGTGTACGTCACGTACCTGGGGAAGAGATGCGGTATGGGAAGAAGACAAGCTGGCAGATGCAGTGTAATGCTTTGGGCAATGTTCTGCTGGGAAACCTTGGCTCCTGCCATCCATGTGGATGTACACGTCACCACCTACTTGACACGTATCATCTACTTAAACACTGTTGCTGACCGAGTACACCCCTTCATGGAAACGGTATTCCCTGCTGGCAGTGACCTCTTTCAGCAGGATAACGTGCCCTGCCACACTGCAAGAATGGTTCAAGAATGGTGTGAGGAACACAACGCGTTGGAGGTGTTGATTTGGTCTCCACATTCTCCAGATCTCAATCCAATAGAGCATCTGTGGGATTTGCTGGAAAAACAAGTCTGATCCATGGAAGCCCCACCTCACAAATTACAGGACTTATGCAGGCCATAGACGGGGAGAAAAAAAACAGCCGATTTTCATCCCGTCTACAGCCGGCAAAAAGTGTCCCTGCAGAGAGCTCTGCTATTTCTTTGACAGTTCCTTGACATTTACAGAGGTTGCAACAATGTATCTATTTGTATCCATTTAGGATACAGATGTTTTTATTCGGAAACAAATAGATACAATGTTGCAACCTCTGTAAATGTCAAGGAACTGTCAAAGAACTGTCAAAGAAATAGCAGAGCTCTCTGCAGGGACACTTTTTGCCAGACTGGAATTCCTCTTATTTTTCATCCTTCTTCTTCTTCTCCTTCTTCATCATCATCCTCTTCTTCTCCTTCTTCATCATCTTCTTCTTCTTCATCATCATCATCATCATCCTCTTCTTCTTCTTCATCATCATCATCCTCTTCTTCTTCTTCATCATCATCCTCATCTTCTTCTTCATCATCATCATCTTCCTCTTCTTCGTATTCTTCCTTTTCTTCGTCATCATCATCCTCTTCTTCTTCTTCTACTTCGTCATCATCATCCTCTTCTTCTTCTTCTTCATCATCATCATCATCATCCTCTTCTTCTTCTTCTTCATCATCATCCTCATCCTCTTCTTCTTCTTCATCATCATCCTCTTCTTCTTCTTCTTTTTCTTCCTCATCATCATCCTCTTCTTCTTCTTCATCATCCTCTTCTTCTTCATCATCCTCTTCTTCTTCTTCCTCCTCCTCCTCTTCTTCTTCATCATCATCTTCATTCTCTTCTTCTTCCTCTTCTTTTTCTTCTTTTTGTCTTCCTCTTGCAGGTCACTGCTCATGCGCAGATTTTTTATCGGTAAAAAATCGGCCGATTTGCCCATTATTGCCGCAAAAATTGGTCGATCGGCAAAATCGGCCGATTTTTTTTCCCAACTTTACCGATAAAAAAACCCGGCCAAAATACCGAAAAACGGCCGAACAAATAGCCCACTAACGATCCGAAAATCGGCCGATTTTATTTTCAGCCAAAAAATCGGCCGATTTTCGACCCATCTATGGCCTGCATTAAAGGATCTGCTACTGGACGGCAAACATTCCAACCTTTACTGTTTTGTTCCTGGATTTCACTGCATGTGTATGGTGTTATTCCATCTTTCACCATCAGAGGTCTTGTCACAAGTTAGCCTGCAGTTTCGTTTGTGTTCTTACCTTCTTGCTGCAGTCCTGTTCCTGATCCTTCTCATGTTTGTCTGTGCTCATCTATGGGCATCGTCTGCTGTCCTCTGGGTTTTATTTCCATCCCTTCCATCACTTCCTGTCCCGCCTCCTTGTCTGCCTGCCTATATAAGACGTGCTCAGACTACGCCACTTTGCCTGAGCAATTTCCTAGTTGCTGGAGCTCCCTTGTGTTTCTGTTGTCTTGAATCCTATATTGACCACCCGTGTACCGACTCTGGCTTCGTTCTCTAACCTTGCTTGTTTTCTGCCTGTCCTGACCTCGGCTTGCCATTCGGATTCCGTTTGTCTTCTCCCGTGATACCCTGCTCCCACGAGTGGTCTCCTCCACCTCAGCTGGGTGTACCTGGGGGCCGCGACCTGGTCCCAGCTTGCTGCAAGTCCATCCCCACCATTAGGGGCTCTGGTGAACAAGCAGGCTGGGGCTTAGTTGAGGATCCATAAGAGCTCACTACCACCGGTGCTGACAGGTCTGTTAGGTTGAAATACTACCGAGGCTGTCCATTGGTAAAATGGTGTTCTGCCGTACATGCGCGTGACGTCATCCCACATCGGTGGTGCCGCACATGCATGGTGATGTCATTACGCATCCATGTTCTGCCAGTAATATTTAGACGCCAGTGGGGCAGGAGAGACATAAAAGGGCAACCTAGGGCAGCCATTGTGCAGACTCACATGCCTTGCCAATGGATACCCTTGATGACTTCCTGAAATTGGGTAGGTGCAGATCAGCCCCAATAACTTAGTCGAATATTCCTTCAATACTGGTTTATGGATTCCACATTGGTTTCTTTTCTATGAAAAAAATCTTTGTACTTTGTAGATGTTGGTGTGATATCACTTACGTAGTGATTGTAACCCTGGGGGAACTTACCTACCTATCTACCTATTGGGTTGGTGTGCATGACTTTGAAGTAATATGAGTTGTTGATCTACTGTATCTACTCTACAACAATCTACATCTATATTCATTTCTATTTCTATTTAGTTTGGGCTTTTTGGAAGTTTCTTGGGACCCATTTGTCTCTCCTACGGGATAACTAGAACCTCCCTTTTTGAGGGAGTTGAAGCAATTGCTATCCATTGTGAATTTCTATATGTGTAATTATTCTATTCGTAATTTGTGTGATTACCTTTTTGTTTTTGAACCTTCCACTAAGTCCATGATGTAATGTTGTGTTCTCCATTATTCTATATTTCATATATGTATGTAAAATTGTGCGCTAAAGATTGATTGTATTTGAGGACTTATTATTGTCTTTTCTCTTCGAGTGATTTATACTTTGTGTAGCACTCAAGACAAGATAGTGACGAAACATGGAAACATGTAGAGATATTTACATAGCCTGGCTGAAAAAAGACAAAAGTCCATCCAGTCCAACCATAACCATAAGTCCATTTTATACAAGTGAACGAGTTTTTCTTGTGTTGTGGCACCGTTAACCGCTTCCCGTCCGGCCCATGTATATAAACGGCCTCCCCGCCCCCTGCTTGTGCGCGTTCCCTGGGAGCATGCAGCACCGCGATCCGGTGCCCGCTGTGTCCTCCAGACATAGTGGAACACCGATCGTTGTAAGGGACCTCTGCGTGAGGTCCCGATCATGTGATCACTGATTGGCCAATCAGTGATCACATGAAGAGTAGTAAGCAAGATGTCACTTTTGACATCATTGCTTACTTGAAATCTGTGAATGATCACAGAGATCACATGGTACAGGGCCATTCACAACAGTTACTGCTCACACAGTATTTCTCAATGGCTGCAGGAATGCAGCCAGAGAGAAGGAGAAATGATTGCTTATACCGCCTTTATGGGTGTAAAAGCAATCAGTGTAAAAAAAAAAAAAAAAATCTTCATCACCCCCCACAAGTTGTACAGTGTCACCATGGTGATACTACTGCTAGGGTGACAGTATGTAAAAAAACAAAAACAAAACAAAAACATAAATAATAATATAAAAAAAAAAAATTAAAATGTAAAAAAAAATTATTATTTTTGGTTATAAACTAATTTGGGTTATTTATTTTTTTACTAAAAAGATAACTGAATAAATTTTGGCCAAGATTTATGAAGAAAGATTATTTATTTGCTAATTGGCCTGGGCAGGAAGGGGGGGGAAAGTGTCCGGACTGGAAGGGGGGGAAAGTGTCCGGACTGGAAGGGGGGGAAAGTGTCCGGACTGGAAGGGGGGGAAAGTTTTCGGACTGGAAGGGGGGGAAAGTGTCCGGACTGGAAGGGGGGGGAAAAGTGTCCGGACAGGAAGAGGGAGAAAGTGTCCGGACTGGAAGTGGGTGAAGGTGTCCGGACTGGAAGGGGGGGGGAAAGTGTCCGGGACTGGAAGGGGGGGAAAGTGTCCGGACTGGAAGGGGGGGAAAGTGTCCGGACTGGAAGGGGGGGAAAGTGTCCGGACTGGAAGGGGGGGAAAGTGTCCGGACTGGAAGGGGGGGAAAGTGTCCGGACTGGAAGGGGGGGAAAGTTTTTCGGACTGGAAGGGGGGGAAAGTGTCCGGACTGGAAGGGGGGGAAAGTGTCCGGACAGGAAGAGGGAGGAAAGTGTCCGGACTGGAAGTGGGTGAAGGTGTCCGGACTGGAAGGGGGTAAAAGTGTCCGGACTGGAAGGGGGGGAAAGTGTCCGGACTGGAAGGGGGGGAAAGTGTCCGGACTGGAAGGGGGGGAAAGTTTTCAGACTGGAAGGGGAGGAAAGTGTCCGGACAGGAAGAGGGAGAAAGTGTCCGGACTGGAAGGGGGTGAAAGTGTCCGGACTGGAAGGGGGTAAAAGTGTCCGGACAGGAAAGGGGGAGAAAGTGTCCGGACTGGAAGGGGGGGAAAGTGTCCGGACTGGAAGGGGGTAAAAGTGTCCGGACTGGAAGGGGGAGAAAGTGTCCGGACTGGAAGGGGGGGAAAGTGTCCGGACTGGAAGGGGGTGAAAGTGTCCGGACTGGAAGGGGGTGAAAGTGTCCGGACTGGAAGGGGGGAAAGTATCCAGCCTGGAAGGGGGTGAAAGTGTCCGGACTGGAAGGGGGTGAAAGTGTCCGGACTGGAAGGGGGTGAAAGTGTCCGGACTTGAAGTGGTTAAAATCCCACTTTAAACAATCAAAAAAATGTTCGGGTTTTATATACAAAAGTTATAAAAAATGTGAATTTGTTCCAGGAATTTTCCGGTGCTGATGGAGGATCATGAATCACGGTGATCCATAGCGGAGTACCTCCGGCTGGGTTCAGCTGCAGATCACTTTATGTGTGACTTATGAACGTCCTCCTATATCTCTGCAATTTGTGGCTTTGCTGCATACAGAAAAAAAACAACCGTTTATAGACTGATGCATTCAAATAGATTAAGTGCATATAAAATATAACTAAAATAAGACCTGTCATATTAAAGTGTTTCTAACATAATTCAAGCTGCATTGTACATCCCGTGTGCGGCTTCACCTCCTCCTTCTCAGCTAGACAGCAATGCTAAAGTCCATCACCCACAGAAGCCTTTAAAGAGGACCTACACCCTCCCCCTTCACTGAACACCCTTGCACTCCTCCCCCTCCTATTCTGGCAATTTGACAGAAATTGTTTTAATTGGTCATCACTCGGTGCTTCCAGGGTTCTCACATAGGTGACAGTGACATGTGGGATGCCCTAATCATAGATCTCAGGAGGCATCGGTACTGGGCATGCAGCAAGGCACCAGCTGGCTCTTCCGGGTTCTTGCATCTACACTCACCGGCCCACTTTATTAGGTATTCCTTACTAGTGCCAAGAAAATCTCCCCCACACCATGACACCCCCACCACCAGCCTGAACCATTGATACAAGGCAGGATGGATCCACCACACCATGACACCCCCCACCACCACCAGCCTGAACCATTGATACAAGGCAGGATGGATCCACCACACCATGACACCCCCACCACCAGCCTGAACCATTGATACAAGGCAGAATGGATCCACCACACCATGACACCACCACCACCACCACCAGCCTGAACCGTGGATACAAGGCAGGATGGATCCACCACACCATGACACCACCACCACCAGCCTGAACCGTTGATACAAGGCAGGGTGGATCCACCACACCAAGACACCACCACCATCAGCCTGAACCATGGATACAAGGCAGGATGGATCCACCACACCATGACAACACCACCACCAGCCTGATCTGTTGATACAAGGCAGGATGGATACCCCACATTATGACACCACCACCCCCAGCCTGAACAGTGGATATAAGGCAGGATAGATCCCCCCCACCCTGACACCACCACCAGCCTGAAACGTGCATACAAGGCAGGATGGATCCCCCATGGCACCACCACCACCAGACTGAACAGTGGATACAAGGCAGGATGGATCCCCCACCATGACACCACCACCACCAGCCTGAACAGTGGATACAAGGCAGAATGGATCCACCACACCATGGAACTACCACCAGCCAGAACCGTTGTTACAAGGCAGAATGGATCAACCACACCATGACACCACCACCACCAGCCTGAACCGTGGATACAAGGCAGGGTGGATCCATGCTTTCATGTTGCTTATGCCAAATTCTGAGTCTACCATCTGAATGTCGCAGCTGAAATCCAGACTCATCAGAGCAGGCACTGTTTTTCCAATCTTCTATTGTCCAATTTTGGTGAACCTGTGTGAATTTTAGCCTCCATTTCCTGTTCTTAGTTGACAGGAGTGGCACCCGGTGTGGTCTTCTGCTGCTGTAGTCCATCTGCTTCATCGACCTGTTGAGCATTCAGAGATGGTATTCTGCATACCTTGGTTGAAAAAAGTGGTTATTTGAGTTACTGTTGCCTATCTATTATCTCCAACCAGTCTGCCCCTTCTCCTATAACCTCTGACCTCAACAAGGCATTTTCCTCCACACAACTGCCACTCACTGGATATTTTCTCTTTTTCGAACCATTCTCTGCAAACCCTAGAGATGGTTGTGCGTGAAAATCCCAGTAAATCAGCTGTTTTTGTAAATATTCAGACCAGTCCGTCTGGCACCAACAACCATGCCACGTTCAAAGTCACTTAAATCCCCTTTCTTCCCCATTCGGATGCTTGGTTTGAACTTCAGCAAATCGTCTTCACCATGTCTGGTAGCCTGAATGCATTGAGTTACTGCCATGTGATTGGCTGATTAGCAATTAGTGTTACCAAGCAATTGAACAGGTGTACCTAATAAAGAGGCTGGAGAGTGTATTTGGAATAACATTTTAGTTACTGTGCTGTTTATGGAGACTAGGCCTCACCTATTCTCCTGCTAATGAACTCATTGGACTGGTTCATGAGCTCATGACAGGAAATGATGCTACAGGAAGTTAGCAGGCAATTGAAACAGGCGTACCTAAAAAAGAGGCCAGTGAGTGTATATGGAATAACATTTTAGTTACTGGGTTGTTTTTGGAAGCTAGGCCTCCCCTATTATGCTAATGACCTTGTTGGACAGGTTCATGAGCTCAGGACAGGAAATGATGCTACAGGAAGTTAGCAGGCAATTGAACAGGTGTACCTAATAAAGAGGCCGGTGAGTGTATATGGAATAACATTTTAGTTACTGTGTTGTTTTTGGAAGCTAGGCCTCCCCTATTCTCATGCTAATCACCTCGTTGTACTGGTTTATGAGCTCAGGACAGGAAATGATGCTACAGGAAGTTAGCAGGCAATTGACCAGGTGCACCTAAGAAAGTGGCCAGTGAGCATAGTCCCCCGATGACACTCCGTGGTGCATGCGTGTCAGCAGCAAGAACACAACTTTACTGCACAACATCACTCACCGGCAGAAGTCCACCATGCAGATCACTTCCCGCCTTCTTATGTCTTCCCAAACAGTGGTTCCACATGCACTGCACAGTTCTGCTCCTTAGCTTCTCCTCCACCTTCATATCGGGTGCAGCACAAGGTAAGGGGGGGGTGCACTGTGATGTAAAGGAGGGCGGGGGACTCTTGACCTCTTGTGGTGGTGGTGGTGGGCTCTTGACAACAGATGTAAAGGGGGGGGGTGCACTGTGATGTATAGGAGGGCAGGGGACTCTTGGCTTCTTGTGGTGGTGGGCTCTTGACAACTGATGTAAGGGGGGGGGGGGTGCACTGTGATATAAATGAGGGTGGTGGACTCTTGACTTCTTATGGTGGTGGGGGGGGGCTTTGACAACTGATGTAAGGGGGGGTGCACTGTGATGTATAGGAGGGCGGGGGACTCTTGACCTCTTGTGGTGGTGGTGGTGGTCTCTTGACAACAGATGTAAGGGGGGGGTGCACTGTGATGTATAGGAGGGCGGGGGACTCTTGACCTCTTATGGTGGTGGTGGGGGCTCTTGACAACTGATGTAAGGGGGGGTGCACTGTGATGTATAGGAGGGCGGGGGACTCTTAACCTTTTGTGGTGGTGGGCTCTTGACAACAGATGTAAGGGGGGGGTGCACTGTGATGTATAGGAGGGCAGGGGACTCTTGACTTCTTATGGTGGTGGTGGGGGGGGGGCTCTTGACAACTGATGTAAGGGGGGGGTGAGGTGCTCTGGCCATCTAGTCTTACAGATACAACCATCCCTTTGAGGGCAACCATAAAGCTGATGCGCCCCACAATGAACTTGAGTTTTGACACCCCTGCCTTAAGGGTACCACCTGCCTGAAGATCAGTAGTGACACCAACCATTTGATGGCTTGACTTTTTGTTTGAGAGCACAAGCAACTGTGACAAATATCATTCAAGGCACACCTCGAATGTCATTTTTTTTGAGTTACAAATTATTCAGCGGGTTTAGTTCCACATTAAGGATTAAGGTAGGTAAATTAAAAATGCATTTCATTAATTTTAAGATGAATAATTAAAAATAGCAGCATTTTACAACATTGTTTATGTGTTTTTACACCCCTGTAAAAAAAAAATAAAAATTTGCATAATGAAAGCCCACAGATAATCTCTATTTTCAATTAACTGCCATCTCTTTAATTCGTAGATTTACAACAAATAAAGCAATATTCCACCTCAACTCAATTCATTTTTCCAGTTTTAGCCGAGTTTCTTTTTTCTCTAAACCTAAAGAGCAAACATAGCTCTGGGAGAGAGATTTTCTTTTTCAGTAAATTTTGTTTAGAAATTGTACTAGATAATCAGGCAAAAAATGTTTTTGTGGTTTTTTTTTTTAAATATTATTTATTTTTATGCTGTTATTATGCACAAGGCTGTGTCCTTACAACTCCATTTTTAAATTGTATTACAACGTGGAAGTCATATTCAAATCTGGAAAGACCTTGTAAATGTAGGTTAATGTCATTATTTCTCCCGTTCCGTGTTGTGTACAGAAAGTAAATGTCTTATTATTGGCTGTGTAAAACGTGCCGCCGAAATCATTTTATTTTCCAACAACGTTTAGCAACGTAGCAAAGGATTTTCAATGTCAATCAGCATGAGAACAGAGCGTGTGTCTGAAAAAATAATGCAGATGTCTTCCACGTATGACTTTTGTGGCAAAAATTCTAATTAAAAATAATAATCTGCATTATATATTTTAAAAAGTAATTAAATTATTTTTTTTGAGAATTAAACATTTAATTTATAATAATTAATTTTGAGGCAAAATTCTAATTAAAAGTAATATATTATATTAAACTAAATAATTCAATTTTTTTTTAAATAATTAAACCTTTCATTTAAATTAGTTCATGGAT